CTTTTAACAGCAATCATTGTTTTCCAAAATTGAAACTTTCCAGAAGGATTCAGCATATCTAGGTCATTAATGGCTCCCAAGACAGTTGATTTACTACTTAGCTCAATATCCAAACTCAAAGTAACCTGCAATTTTATAACCTGGAATTACAACCATTGCAGTCTGGCAGAAATGAAACTTATTTTTATTTTCAAGTCTCAGGTCTTAAAGGTAGATCATTATAGGCCTTAAATTTTCAAATGATTACACTGATGTTATTGATGTTCTTGAGAATTTACATCTAAATCCCAAAGCAGAGTTTAAAAATATGCTTTAAAGTTACACCACTGCATAGAACTCCAAAATATATATGGTAATTGGCAGTACATAATGGGGACAAATCTGCCTTCCAGTTGCAGAAAGTGTCAAACAAATATTTGGGATATGCACATATTTAATCAGAGAAGTATTTAAAAAACAATCCAAGGTATTTTCATCTATTAAACTGTACACATAGCATTTGCCAACTGATAGCTAGACATCGTAGAGAGCTTAACCAGCATGTTTTACTATTTTTTTAAAAAACTCTCCAATTCCTTATCCTTATTTTTGTCAGCACTCAGTTTGACAGATAGTAAGCCAGATTTTTCAGAAGTATTAAGCACCCTACTTTCCTGTTGAACTCTAATGAATAGTGCACGTTCACCACTCCCTAAAATCAGACAGTGAGAGCACGTCTACACATGACGCTACATCTCTGTAGCAACACACTACAGCGACACAGCATCCGCAGATGTCTACACGTGACCAATCCTGTGTTGCCGTAGCAACACTCTTCCCCGTTATAGAGTGGTGCTACAGCAAAGTGGCTGCTAAAAATAACGGTGTGCTACACATACGGCACAGCACGGGTTGTTACTGCACCATGATTTAGTACTTCTAAAAGGAGTAAATTTGGAAGTACTTTTCAAAGTACTAAATCACAGCGCAGTAACAGCATCAGCTTAGTGACACATGAGATGAGCCTTGGGCGACTCATAAAGGACATATAAGATCAGAGGAACAATCACAAAAAAGCCTAAACTAAAACAAAAATTTAAAGGCTACTTTTCAAACTTTTGGCTCAAAGGTACTATGAGATTTGAACTGGGTCTTTTTCAAATTGCATTTAGAATTATTGTCAGGTGAGCTAAAAGGAATCTCTTTCGACTGGCAGGATGAAATAGGATTTGTGTTAACACTATATCACATAGGGGGTGTTCTTGCATATCTAAAGTTCCCATCATCGCCTGTGTGCCAGTTGAACAAACTGAACGATCAGCCCATGCAACTAAAACATGACTTTCATTGTCAATTTAGTGTCTGAGTGCTATGATGAAGCCAACAAGTTTGGTTATACATTTTCTTTCATACACTTCAATGCTCATGGCTCGTTAAGGGTCAACATCACTAGACACTAAAATCCTGTTATCAATCAACACAAGTATTGCAAGCTTCCTGGCTATGGCCAATATGCTTCATAGAAGCATAGAATCAAAGAAAGTTAGAGTTGGAAGGGACCTCAGGAGATTATCTAGTCCAACCCCCTGCTCAGAGCAGGACCATCCCCAACTAGAACATCCCAGCCAAAGCTTTGTCTAGCCAGGGTTTGGAAACCTCCAAGGATGGAGCTTCCACCATCTCTCTGGGTAACCACTGCAGTGTTTTACTACCCTCCTAGTGAGAAAATTCTTTTGATATCTAACCTAAACTTCCCTTCCTTCAACTTGAGACCATTGCTCCTTGTTCTGTCATCTGCTACCACTGAGAACAGTCTAGCTCCATCCTCTTTTGAACCACGCTTCATGTATTAGATCCCATCTCAGCCTCGTTTTCTCTAGACTAAATAAGCCCAGTTCCCTCAGTCTTTCCTCATAAGTCATGACCCTCCAGTCCCCTCACCATTTTTGTTGCCCTCCGCTGGACTCTCTCCAGTTTGTCCACATCCTTTCCGTAGTGTAGTGGGGGGCCCAAAACTGAACACAGTACTCCAGTTGTGGCCTCACCAGTGCTGAATAGAGGGGAAGTATCATTTCCATTGACCTACTGGCATCACACCTACAAATGTAGCCCAGTATACTGTGAGCTTCCTTTGCTACAAGGGCACACTGCTGGCTCATATTCAGCTTACTGTCTACTGTAACCTCCAGGTCCTTTTCTGCAAAGCTGTTGCCCAGCCAGTCAGCCCCCAGCCTGTACTGGTTCATGGGATTGTGCCATCCTTAGTCTTAGTGAAGGACTTTGCACTTGTCCTTGTTGAACCTCATGAGATTTCTTTTAGCCTAATCCTCTGCTTTGTCTAGGTCACTCTGAATCCTAGCCCTACCCTCCAGCGTATCTACTACTCCCCACTGCTTGGTATCATCTGCAGACTTCCTGAGGGTGTACTCTATGTCATCTTCCAGGTCATTGATGAAGATATTGAACAAAATTGGCCTCGGGACCGACCCCTGGGGCACTCCACTTGATATCAGCTGTCAACTAGACATTGAGGCATTGATTACTACTCTCTGAGCCTGCTGTTCCAGCCAGTTTTCTATCCATCTTAAGGTCCATCTATGCAGCCTATACTTCCATTGCCTGTCTGCAAGAATGATGTGGGAGACCATATCAAAAGCCTTACTAAAATCAAGGTACACCACATCCTCTGGTCTCCCTGCATCCACAGAGACAGTCATCTTATCACAGAAGGCAATCAGGTTGGTAAGGCATGACTTGCCCCTGGTGAATCCATGCCAATTGTTCCTAATCACCTTCTCTTCCAAGTGCTTAGAAATGAATTCCTTGAAGATCTGCTCCATGATTTTTCCAGGGACTGAGGTGAGACTGACTGGTCTGTACTTCCCTGGATCCTCCTTCTTCCCTTTGTTAAACATGGGCACTATGTTTGCCCTTTCCCAATCATCCGGGACTTCTCCTGATAGCCATGAGTTTTCAAAGATTATGGCCAGTGACTCTGCAATCTCATCAGCTAACTCCCTTAGCATCCTCAGGCGCATCCCATCTGGCCCCATGAACTTGTATATATCCAGATTTTCTAAATAGTCCCTAACTTGTTTTTTCACCACTGTTGGCTGTTCGCCTTGTCTCCAAACTGTGCTGCCTGTTCCAGTAGTCTGGGAGCTGACCTTGCCTGTGAAGACAGAGGTGAAAAAGGTATTGAGCCCTTCAGCCTTTTCTGCATTCTCTGTCACAAGGTTGCCTCCCCCACTCAGTAAGGGACCCACATTTTCCCTGATCATCCTCTTGCTACCGACATACAAGTAGAAATCCTTCTTGTTACCCTTCACATCCCTTGCTAGCTGCAACTCCTGACTTCATTCCTGCATGCCCAAGCGGTACTCTTATATTCTTCCCCAGTTATTCAAGTTTCCACTTATAAGCTTCCTTTTTTGTCATTTAGTTTACTAGAGTTCCCTGCTAAGCCAAGCTAGTCTTCTGCCATACTTGCTCATCTTCCCATGCATTGGGATGGTTTGTTTCTGCATTCTCGGTAATGCTTCTTTAAAGTACAGCCATCTCTCCTGGACTCCTCTCCCCTTCTGTCTGGCTGCCCATGAGTTCCATGAGCAAATCGAAGTCTGCTTTTCTGAAGTCCAGGGTCCTTACTCCACTGCTCTCCATCCTTCCTTTCCTCAGGATCCTGAACTTAATCGTCTCATGGTCACTGCTGCCCAAGTTGCTATCCACTACTATATTCCCCACTAATTCATCCCTGCTTGTGGGTAGCAGGTCAAGAAGAGCACAGCCCCTAGTTGGCCTCTCCAGCATTTGCACCAGGAAGTTGTCCCCAACACTCTCCAAAACCTTCCTGCATTGCCCGGGCACTGCTGTATTGCCCTCCCAGATGTCAGGGTGATTGAAATCCCCCATGAGAACCAGGGGCAATGATCAGGAAACTTCCACTAGCTGTTTGAAGAAAGCCTCATCCACCACTTTCTCTTGGTCTGGTGGTCTATAGCAGACATCCATCACAACATCACTCTTCTTGCTTTCCCTTCTCACCTTAACCCAGAGACTCTCAACAGGACTATCTCCAGCTTCATATTGGAGCTCTGAGCAATCATGTGGCTCTCCTACATAAAACGCAACTCCTCCTCCTCTTCTCCCCTGCCTGTCCTTCCTGAACAGTTTGTACCCATCCATGACAGTGCTCTAGTCACGCAAGCTCCCACCATGTCATAGTGCTGTGACTGTGCAACAACTTCCAGTTCTTTCTGCTTGTTTCCCAGGCTCCATGCATTTGTGTACGGGCACCTAAGGTAACTAGTTGATTGCCCTGATTTTTCAGGAAGTATGAGAGCAACTCCCCTGATGTCCCCTCTCCTGCTTGCTCTTTCTCCAGGTTTCCTGCTTCCCCACTTATCTCAAGGCTTCAGTCTCATTCTAGACAGACAGCTGCTTAGGTCTGGTTGGAGTAGAAGGTTCACATTGTAGATCTGTGTAGGTACATATTTACTTTTCCATACCAAATACTTCTTTGGCTCCTTTGCTCAGCTTGTCAGTCATAGCAATATACAGATGGCAGATAGTTCTATCCATCTTTCTTCACATATGATCACACCATTACAACTGTGTAGCCATACTAGGGTGCACCGATACAGATTTTTTGGTCAATACTGATGGCCGATTATTAACCAGCCATATCAGCCGATCTGTTTACCAGTAGGCAGCCTGGCAGCTTGAAGAGCAGCATCTGGCCGATAAGTCTGTGTGGGGGAAGGGACATGGGCGAGATGTGACAGATGTTAATCATGTTACCTGAAAAGCGTTCAGATACTCTGGTGGTGATTTAGGTATAAGATTGGTATGACAGAACAATAGTGCAAATGATTATCAGTTAGCACTGAAACAGCCACCTTCTCCTAAAAACTGAGCTGAGACAATCATGCTAATTTCACATAGGTTATGAAATAGCAGTAAATTCTGAACGATCCTTAATAAGATCCTTCTCCCTAACATATACACAAAAAACGGCAATGTTCTGTAAAACCAGCTTTATTATAGTAGGAAAAAAAGTGTAGAAAAATAAAAGGCTCCTGTAAACGCAAGGTCAAACAAACTAACATTTTCTACTGGAACTACAATCATTCATAGAAATCAAATGCTCATAATGACAAAATCACTAAATACATGTCCAACAAAGCAGCCCTGAAAAAGTAAACATAACTGCATATTAGGTAAACTGAACTTTTGGTCATCTCAAGAATAACCCATTGTTCACTAGGCAGCAAAATTACTTTGATAAATAATCTGTTCATAACCCTTTCAGAGAATGTATACATGCATATCTCTCTCTTTGAACTATAGCTTAAATCACAAAAGCAGCAGAAATCTTTTCCTAATATTGAAAAAGTAGAGTGCTAGCTCCAGATGGGTAAAAAAATCAAGACTGCTTAAGAATATTATTACAATAAAAACATGCTTGTAATAAAAATATTTCCTTTTAAAATTGATATAGCCAGTGAGGTTAAATCTTTAAACATAGTGCTTATAAAATAAAAAGGTACAGTTTTCAGACAGGTATGTATTAGAGACTGGGTAAGTTAAGGAAAGCTACTTTTTAACACTGCCGTCGTTAGGTTTGGATTTGTAGTATTTTTGACCAATACCATAAGGTACGTGCGCTGCTATAGTACCCAGCTGTCGTGCTCCTTCAATGTGAAACATCTGGTCATCAAAGAAAATATGAGGCCGGATCTTCACCAAGACTGGTCCTTTAGGAGCTCCCGCAAGGAAAAGTGCCTCATCAATCTCCAAGCCCCAGCTACGGAGAGTCTTCAGCACTCTGGCTCCAGAACTTGCTGCACTTCTGGCTGTGACAAGGTAGGTCCTTATAGGACAATCTAGTCGTTCATTTTTTGCATAGAATTTCTTTTGGAGCTTCCCCAAGTCTTCCAGAAAACCTTTCAAAGGACCCTAGGAGTAAAACATTAGAAACATGTTTAATATTTGTACAATTGTACAAATATCTTGTTCTCTCTTCCAGGCCCTCTATGCACAGCACTCCTCTCCCAATCCCTAAGGCCACTGCCATTTTGAAATCCCTCTCAAAACATGCCTACAAAAATGAGCAAATGATGGTTAAGTCTGATACCTCACCCAAAAGTATATTTGTATATAATATTTCATGCATATTTCATTGTGTCCCTCTTACTGAGATGTTGCCTGTGATACTGTGTAATCAGTGACACCCTGTTCCTGACTTGGGCCTATAAGCCTGAATGGAACATACATATATAACTATTATTCTTGATTCTGTTCTCATAGAGACATTTGTTTAGGTTTACATATGTTGACATCAATGAAGTTCTTCCAGCTTCAGATTCCTCCTGAAAATGACATCAGGATCAAACCCAGATTTAAAAGAAAGAATGACTGGGGTCAAAATCCTGCAATTCCTGTTGTTTTCAAGGGTGGAGCCTTACTTTGGATATACAACAGTGGAAATAATAGCAGAGATGATCTTTTTAGATTTAAATTGCTGTTAAGATTTGAACTTCTGGACAAGTTTTAGAATTCTCTTGGGCACTCAGCATATTCTAGCATTTTAAATCAAGGCCAACTCCTTATTAATACAGTGTTTCATTGACAGCTGTTACGCGTGACAATGTGAAGTGAAGCCAAGCAAGAAGTGACATTACATGCTAAATCCTCAAGGTTGCTATATATACAGAGGTCAACAAAGGAGCACAAGTGCTGAGAAAAGGTACTAGGTCATGCCTGTAACAGGAAAGGTTTTTGCTACAATGAGTAAGGGCTTTCCATTTAAATTCATGGTAGTCTTTTCACTAACTTGAGTGAGCTTTAGGTCAAGGCCTCTAGATCATAATAAAGAGAAAATATAGCTTTAAGTAACTGTGACAGCCTCAAGTTCTTACTTTTACCATGTTTAATGTGTCCCTTTCCCATTACTGAAGTGGAGAGAGAGCCTGTAAGCAACCAGCTGGCTCCAGGTCCCTGAAAGGACTATGCGAGGTCTTTAAGAAGATGGCTGCTTGCCTTAAGTGCAGACAGCGCAATCAGACCAGTGATTAACAGGTGTGGGGTGGAAGTGGTGGATCAAGTGACATGGAAAGGTGGCTGCAGGCTTCATAAGGCCAGGACCATAACTGTGAAAGCCAGCTGACTCTGACCTGCCAGAGATAAGGAACTGCAGGCTCTGGGAGAGCTGCAAGGAAGGCCAGCAGCACCTGACATTGAAGCTAAGTGATTTTGGTTACAGGTTTATTTGTTATCATGGTGTGACACAGCCTCAGGTTGAAGGGAAAGGATTTTACATTGGAAGCAGTTGTGGCTTAGACCTGTGTTTTTGTTTAAAACTGGAGGCGTGACCTGTGGCTGTATAGGAGAGAAGGGTGCCTAGGGTACCCCAGATCCTGAACCCTTCAAAAAGGGGGCAGACAGCACAAGTATGCCAAGACTGAAAGGGCCATGGCCAGCTAAGAGCCCTGCTAGGCTTGGAACCTGCAAGCAGCATCTGGGGTGGGGAAAACTGCTACCAATCGAGGACTGTAGTATGTGGCAAAACAGACAGTGGCCAAAGGGTCCAAATCCCATGAGGATGTGGCTAGAGCTCGGACCCAGCAGCCTAAAGTTCTGTGACAGTGGACCTTGGTCAGAGAGGCCAGCCACAGCAAAGTGGGCCAAGGCCAGGGGGCTAACAAGGATCTAGGACCTGAAGTGAAATTCCTTGGCCTCTAGAGGCATCCTCCCAATCCAACTGTAACGTTAAGGCATGGCAGGCCAGACAACAGGGTGAGACCCTGAGAGGACAGGGGCGAGAGTAAGGCGGGATCCAGGCAGTCACAAGGGGGTGACTAGGCTGCCCCAGGGCCTGACTTGCTACACATGAAGTTTTAGTACTGTGTTATAACACTACAACATCAGGTCCAGAAGCACCAGCTAAGAATTTAAACTGTCCTTAGTACATTCAGACAACCCTTAAAGAAAAAAAATCGAAGTAAGTATAAGGAAATTAATGTTATAATAAAAAGTACACTGAATTATAAAACACCTCTGAAGAACAAGACCATATACACTTATGAGAAGAAGAATGAGGAAAAAAGAACAAGGTAGCAACAAAATACTTGGTAATAAAAATGCAGAGTTGTTTTGAACACTCATCATGGTTCAAGAAGCAGGTACCTGTGCAAGAGGCTTATTCTCATTCAACTGCTCATGTTCAAAAAATCTGTCCAGTCCTTGCTCTTTGACAATCTTCTCTGACTCATCGGAAAAGAGAACAGCATCCCCATCAAATGCCACCCGCAGCTGGTTATCACAGAAGGGGACATCTTTATTTGCAGAGAACATTGTAGCTGATGCAATGCCTGAAATTACATCGGAGAATTTCAGTTAGTTTCTAGGAAAATGAATGTCAATTACTATTGCTAAATAAGTACTAACAATCAGTTTGTAGGACACAGATATGGAGTGGGTATAGTGCCTGGTCTAATGGGTCTATTCTGCAAATATTTATGCACACAAATCTGTGAACAGCTCCAGTGTTTTCACCAAAATTACTCTCATGCAAGGTTACTTCTATTGTAGGAGTCTGCAGGATTGGGCCCTAAGATGTACTGAAAATATGACATAATAGGAAACCTTGGGAAGAATATTAATTCCAATCTTTGTATTATAATTTTAAACTCTTCTTTCTCCTGTTGGAGCACAAATGGCATTTGGTGTTGGTTAGCTTTTGCAGGCATCACAGAATAAATGAATCTTAAAGGAAATAAGAAGCGTGGCACAGCAGTCTTGGGAGGTCATTCTATGGATAGGGGCAGCATAGAAGAAAATGAGTTGGTGGGAATAAGAGATAAAGGAAGATGACTAGGAGTGAAGCGGGCAAGGAGGGAGACAATAAGATACAAAATGTGAGTGGAAGGATAATCATAAATAAAATCAGTGACAAGCTGGTATCATATGGATAGTAATACATCTATTTTTAATTCAGTGCTACCACCTTCTGTGAAAAGGTATGTGTAATTAATGAATTAATTTTTCATTAGGGCTAGCTGAGAAGTAAACCAGAAAAAAATTGATTCCAACCTGCTTCTATGGCTTCCTGAACTTTTTCAGAGTCAGCAGAAAGATATAAGTTGGTAAGATACGCTTTCAGGTAACCAACAGGGCTTTTTCCACCAGTCATGCAAAAACGTTCAATTGTTAAACCTGAAAATCAAGTAAACAAAACAGACATAAAGGAGACAAATGCATATGGTGACATGATACAACCCTGCTGGATTTTTGTCCTTACACACACACGTACACGGTTACTATATGAACTAACATTTAGGCACTGTAACACAGACACACACACACACGGTTACTATGTGAACTGACTAACATTTGGGGAATGTAAAGAACATTTATGAAAAGCATGTCCCTGCCATGCTATTGTGGCAGTCTCCTACTGAATAAAGGTTCGGATGAACTATTTCTTCTTGCATGCTTTAAAATATAGGATTGGCTGGAAGAAAGATATGAGGTTATGGTCTATTATAGTATGGAAACTCTTATGTTATCATGTTAGACAAAATGAACTTAAAAAGTGTGAGTCATTAGAAAGACAGAGTGGGCCAGACAGAGCTGGCCTAATGGGTGGGCATTGTTGGTAACTGCCCAGGGTGCCATGGTTCGGGGAGACACCATACACATACCCCTGCTCTGCTGCTCATGCCAGGTGGGAGCTGTTGGGACACTTTGGTGGCAACTAATTCTGGGGTGCTGGGCAGCGGGACCTGTCCCCAGCCCCCAGACCATGCCCAGAGCTGACTGGAGCCAGCTAGCGAG